GGTGGAAGGCTTGCTTGGCTCGCAGATTGGAGCATTTCATGAACGTACTGGTGAGATGTTTTATATCAGTTTCTCGCATTCGATTATAAATCATGGAAATTCATCAAAATAACTGAAGTAAGTTGAAGATGCAATTGTGAACTTTCATGACCTTTTTATATGAATTTTTTAAAAAATTTAAGGCACGGCACAACGTGTTTTTTTCTACCAATCGCATTGCCATAACCATCAATAGCATTTCCATTTGAGGTTCGTCGCTGCTCTAAGATATTTTAATTTCAGGAAGAACACATATGGCAATTTAGCCTATGCACTTTTTCCACGTTTTCATGGGCAATTCAAAAGTAGGGTAACCTCCCAATGCTAGTATATAAAAACTTGAAAATAATAAAGAAGAAGGCGTCGCGCATTTGTGCAAGAAACTCTTTTTCAAATGTACTGTTGATGTTCTGTTAGATAAAAAAAAAGAAATGACATTAGAATAGTGTTTTGTGGTGTGAATTTCATGATATAATTTCTCGAAAAAATTACATTGTTCACGTTTGAAGATAGAAAAATTGTAACTAAAAAGTTTGAATAAACTACAAGAGTAACATGAATACCAGATTTACACTGTGCATGCGTTCTCGCACTACATGAGCTATCCATTTGAACAAACAATAGAAGAATCTAAACCAATTTTAGAATACTGTGCGCATATATTGAAGAATTTAGGTCTGCACCACACCTATCGCCAAAAAAGCAAAGTGGCATAAGCTCAAATTCGCACATAGCGGTGAATTCAATAAACTTTTTCAAATAACGAAAGCGATGAAGAACATTTAATGTTTTGCCAAATATGGCGGCGATGCTCGATTCTCATTTGCATGAATCCATAAAGATTGCTTTCTCAACCTAATATTATGTGGCAACTACATTACCATAATCTTGCATAACCAATTCAATATTATAAGGTTGATTCCTCCATAGAAATTCAAATATCAAGATCTCTAGAATGCTAATACAATTTTGGACTCACGTACATCGCATGTGACGGCTTAATGTATGTACGGTATAAATTTAGCAGTGGAATAAATACATGCATCAACGTTCCTTTCTATTGCTTGAAAGTTTTTCTTTCCATCAAGCGATTAAAATCTCAAGCAGGGTGTAATTCCAACTTTCAGCGCTCTTTTGAAGATCTGTAAATGTTCGCTCAAAACATTTATAAACGTTGTTGGCAGGATCTGAATAGACTACTTCATCGTCCGTTTAAGGTTCAAGCAAGACAAAAAAGCAAATGTGGCAATTAATAATCCTGCTCTTTGTTCCATCATCTGAAAGTAAGTTGTCTCATTAATGGCTACGATGTTTCAAGCGCTAGAATGAAAATGACTTTTTTTCACTTTGATTTATTTTCTCTACTTATCCTGGATGAGAGTTTTAGATTTCTTGAATGTTTAGACAACCACTCATTCGCAAAATTCCAGCAAAATTCGAAGCGCTTCCACCCTGCAATCTACCTGTGGACATGGGTAGAACATACTGCAATAATAATCCTTCTATAAGAGTAGGCATCACTTTTACTTTGCCCTAAAACATTTTAGTTTCTTGATTTAGTACTTTTTTGATGCGGAAACTGTGGAATGTTTCCCATTCAAATACAGTGGATGTGGTGGGAATGGAAATAACTTCAAAACATCTCGTGATTGCTACGATAAGTGCGAACCGCGTAAGTTTCCCATGCATTTTTCCGTTTTTGTTTTCATTACTTTCCCGCAAAATTATTGCTTTATTAATATTACAATTTTAAGAAGGTTTCCTGAAATGCCCTGCCAACAGTCCTCCTGTAACGACATGCAACGAAACAATGATATGTCCGAAAGGAACAAGGTGCACTCTTGGATTTGCGTTTGGATTATGTTGCGATAGTGAAATTGACAGTAAGCATACTTCGCTTATCCATCTGATAATTCGAAAAAGTCCTATTCATACATGATTAAGGGCAAGTTGAGTCGGACTATCATCCAAACTGTGGGCAAAGAAAGGTTGTCAACACCTATTTACCTGGATTCCCTGATTTCCCTGTACGTTACGCTTCATCCTAGTTATTACATATCAACTAAAATCAGGTAGCTTCATGAATGTGGAAGTCGGAGGCGTAAACCAAAATTCAAGACAATCTTTATGACAGATAACGTTGGTTGGAAAAGACTGTTCTCACAACTTCTGCCCTAAGGGGTCCATGTGTCATCATGGATATTTTTATTCGTATTGCTGCAAATAAGCGCTCCAGCAATAAAACCTCTGCATTTCCGTTTATGATGGCCAAAGGTGAATATACTCTTTGAATCGCACCTTTTATTCGCTGGTATGATATCTTATTATTGTGATTCTGAGTGTTTGTAACTTAGATTCTTATGGGATCATGCGAGTTTCCTTAAGGTGGCCTTTGAAAAGTTCATTGTTTTTTACCTGAAATACAGTAAACCTAAATTATAGACCTTTCTTATGGATGAATACACCCATGACTAAGCAACAAGAAGAACTGTAACAATCTGGGAACTTTAACAGCCAAAGACAATCTAAAATTTAAAAAAAAAACCTTCATTTATTCGTTGTTTACAGCTAATTAGTAATAGATGATTGAGCGGCTCCTTTTGATCCCATGAAACTTGTACATACCGTAATAGAGATGTTGTAAGATATGAAATTCTAGCTCAGTAACAATCCATCTGGGCATCAAGTAATATCCTCTGAGCGATGTACTTCAGAATTGGGACTTTGGAACTATGTGAATGAGTTCTTGAAGAATATGGTAGAACTTCGATTCGCGACTATGCTCTTTGGATTTTCAAAATTGAGACCCTTTCAAATTATATGTTGGGTGTCAAAAAACTACGCGCCCTTTTTTCTTTAGATTTACTGTTACTTTAAAAAAAAA